CAAAAGTGTACGTACGTTGCAGTGACAATATCAAATGATGATGATGATAGTAGTCAGCAACCAAATGATTTTACTGGTTGAATCACTAACCTATTTAACCAGGAAAATGGATTATGATTAAGATATTAATTAATTTTTTTCTTTGTATTTTAGCTATTTTTATCTTTATTAACAATAATTCTTATTTTTCAAACATATTTTTGTTTAATATGAAGAATATATAATATTAATTTGTGTTATGATTTTTCTATAAAATTTATAAAAAAAGTCTATATTTTATTTTTTATTATTTAATTTATGAGATAATAAAAGTTACTTATTTACCAAGAGGAAATGCAATTCCAATATATTGTTTGAATATTGGTTTTTAATATTATGGTCAAATCAATTATTTATGTATATTTTTATTTGCATTTTTGTAAACTTCTTATATGATGAAAATAGTTGAAAAGTTACTTATATTTTTTGTTTTTCTTTATTTCAACTATTATATTTTATTTTCTTTTTATTAATTTATGATTTTTAAATTAAATCGGATTGTATCAGATTCGAATATCCAACATCTTGATCGGATTCAGATTCAAATGAATATTTATGAGATCCGATAAGATCTTCAGATCGAATAAAGTTTAATCCCTACCAAACCACTTGCATACAGTGAACTAGTTAATTAAATCATTAAACCATTTGACATGGTTAGTGGGGTCATGTGTTAGACATTAATGCTCTTCATATTTTATCCTAATTTTTATTCAATTTCTGTCATTATTGAAAATAATTCTCATTAATCACATTTTTTTATATGATGAATATATAATATCATAGAATGTACCCAAAATTATCTACAAATTTCTACATTTTCTAAAATTTTATGTATTTTATTATTTAATAATAACATCATGTGTTGATCCATTTGACATGGATAGTTGAACCACTAACCCACCACTTGGATGGAAAAACCATTTTCCCTTTTTGGTTGATTTTAAATCATGTATTACATTTTCATCATCAATAAAAATAATTCTTATTTTTGCACGTGCCAATATCAAACGATAATGATGATAATAATCAACAACCAAATAATCTTACTGGTTGAACCGTTAACCTATTTAACCAGGAAAATGGACTGTGATTAAGACATTAATTCATTTTTTTTCTTTGTATTTTAGCCATTTCTATCTTTACTAACAATAATTCTTATTTTTCCAATGTATATATTTGTTTAATATGAAGAATATATAATGTTAATATATGCCCAATTTTTTTAATTTATAAAAAATTTTATATTTTATATTTTTTTATTATTTAATTTATGAGATAGTACAAATTACTTATTTACCAAGAGGAAATGCAATTCCAATATATTGTTTGAACATTGGTTTTTAATATTGTGGTCAGATCAATTATTTACATATAGTATTTATATAATATATATGTTATTTATTATTTATTTAGAAATATGTTATTTATATTGCATTTTTGTAAACTTTATATATGATGGCAATAGTTGAAAAATACTTATATTTTTTTGTTCTTTATTTCAATTGTTATATTTTCCTTTTCTTCTAATAATTTATTATTTACAAAAAATAAATCTGATTGCATCTAATTCGTATATTCGACATCTTGATCAGATTTGGATTCGAATCAATATTTACGAGATATAGTCGAATTTTTGGATAAGATCAAATTTGAACCAGGGTTGATTCAAATATGATCTTATCTGTTTGCATCCCTACCAAACCACTTGCCTACGATGACCTAACTAATTAAATTATTGAACCATTTGACATGGTTAGTCGGGTCATGTGTTAGACATTAATGCTCTTTATTTTTTTTATCCTAATTTTTATCCCATTTCTATCATTAAAGAAAATAATTTTTATTAATCACACTTTTTTATATGATGAATATATAATGTTATAGATTTATTAGAATTTTATGTATTTTATTATTTAATAATAACATCATGTGTTGATTCATTTGACATGGGTAGTTTAACCACTAACCCACCACTTGGATGGAAAAACCATTTTGATTTTTTAGTTAATTTTAAATAATGTATTCCATTTTCATCATCAATAAAAGTAATTCTTATTTTCACGTTTATTTTGTTTAATATGGTGAATATATAACAATAGAACTGTATCAAAATGCTTTATACAAATTATGTCTATTTTATCATATTTATTTTTTAATATGACAAATATATAATAATAAAACATGTCCATCTTTTTTTTTCAAAATTTCATTTTTTTGATATTTTTTGTATTTTTAAATTTGTATTATTTATTTATGACATCATGAAATTATCCATTTGATCCAAATGGTTGAATTACTTACCCACGGACTAAATGAAAAATATGATTTTATTTTTAGGTTTATTAAAAAGATAAAGAATAAAAAAATATAGATATTTTTTTTAATATCTAAAATTGTATTATTTATTTATGACATCATGAAATTATCCATTAGACCCAAATAGTTGAAGTAATTACTCACAACCTAGATGGAAAATATGATTTTATTTCTAGGTTTATTTAAAAAATATAAAATTCCATTCTATTAATAATTATTGTGTATGGATTTATTTGTGTAATTTAATAATGATAATTAAAAGTATCTTTTATATTTCTAATTTTGTATTATTTATTTGTGACATCATGAAATTATCTATTTGACCCAAATGGTTGATCTACTTACCCACTTCCTAGGTGAAAAATATGATTTCATTTCTATGTTTATTTAAAAAATATAATTTCATTCTATTAATAATTATTGTGTATGAATTTATCAGTGGAATTTAATGATGATAAACAAAAGTATAAATGTTGGATTCAATGAGAGAATGTGATTTATTTAATGATTTAAATGTGAGACTTAATGAGAGATAATTGAATGTACTTAATGGTATTCTTTCAATTACATTTTCCGCCCTTTCAATGGAGATGGGCTAAATTCAAGAGGAGGGATATTTTAGTAAAAAAAAATCCAGAAGCCAATACCTACACACACACACACACAAAGAGAGAGAGAGAGAGAAAGAGCACTATTCGGTTAAAATCGAAAAACTGAACCAAAAATTCCGATTTTTTGTTAAATTGGTTTGGTTAATTCGGTTTTTGGCTAATTCAATTTTTGGTTTCAGTTTTTAGAATTAGAATTTCGATTAACTGAATTAATCAAACTTCTTATTATTATATATAATATGTAACATATAATATATAATATGTAATATATAATATATAATATATAATATGTAACATATAATATATAATATATAATATATAATATATAATATATAATATATAATATATAATATGTAACATATTATATAGTGATATTTGATTTCATAATATATATTTTATAATATATAATATATAATAGAGTATATATTATTAAAATTCGGTTTTAACTGAAATAACCAAAAAATGAACGAAAATGTCAGTTTCAATTATTTTGTTTTTTCTAATTTCAGTTTTTATTTTTTTAGTTTGGTTCTTAAAATTTCAGTTTACTCAGTTCGGTTTTTAACCGAATAAATCAAATGCTCACCCCTAATTGTTATATATCTATACAAATTTACAGAAAAAGATATAATGCTCGAAAGACATGATGTAAGCCGACAGATAGGGCATCGACGGTCTAACTCTGAAAGTCTAACAAAGTGACTGCGATTTGGAACATTGAAGAAGGAAATTGAACTGGCCGGACTCCCAGAGAAGCTGCGTACTGGCGAGGGTTCAGGTTGCTATAGTTTTTTTTTTGGTATTCCGTGCCATGCATCATTAATGACTTTCCCCTAGACTCTTTTTCCCCAAAGTGATGGCAAAGTGCTGGTTGGAGGATCCGATTCCGCTGGAACAAACCAGCTAACGCACCAATGAGTCAGCCCTCGGTTGGTCAGTTGCTAATTGCTATATAGTTCGTTTGTTACTGAATTCAGAGAGAGAGAGACTTCGAAATGTGTGATACCCCCTTCGTGTGTTTTATCCTTTGCTGGTTTTGCCCTTTTATTATTATTAGTCTATTACTTCAAATTGATCTGATTTGCTTGATTGCTTACTTGGATCAAATTGGTTTGGTCTTACTTGGATTTACGGTGGATCAACGGGCCTTATGTATTTATATAACTCCATTGTCTCACACAAGATATCAAAAAAATTTATAACCAATCAACCAGTATAAAAAAAGTGGTAGTTTTCATCAAAATTCCAGGAATAAAAGTTGTAATTTTCATCAAAATTCTAGGGATAAAAGTGATAGTTTTCATCAAAATTCCAAGGGGGTGTTGATTGGTCAAAGCCTTTTGGTATCATGTCTTTCTGGTACCATAGATTTTTCCTTTTAAAATACTAAAACATTTATAGCATAATCAAGTTTTATCAGAACAGTTTCACCCAGAATTTTGAAACTTCAGAAAATTTGATAACAAACCAAGTAAGGGTATTAAATAGCTAAAATTTTCAAAATTTATAACCTTGTAACTCAAGTACTCTCCTATATCTACTTGTTAGAGCTGATCGATAACTACTAAATTGCTAAATGGTGTACTTATTGATCAGTATGAAACAAATTCTTTAAACTCAGGAAGGAGTACAAATACAAATATGTACAGTACAAATAGGTACAAAATAATACATAATGCAAGGTTTTAAGCTCTACATATTTGTATTTGTACTCTTCCAAATGGAGCCTTAATTGCTAAATGGCATCCCAAATTACTACTTTTCCAATATTTCGTAAGATGGGTATTTTATCCACTAAAAGTGCGAACTTGTAAGTAATTCAATTTAGCCAATTCAGCAATTACCAGACGGCTACTTCGACAAATTCTAACACAATGTCACACTTTTTTCACAATATGGCAGAGTGTTAGGACTCCTCGTGTCTGAGTTGCACAAAGAAATACCCTGGCACTGTGGCATCCTTGTAACATAGCCCAGAACCAGGAAAACACAGGCAGGTTTGCAGGGTTGTTAACTGTACCAAACCAATAATGTCCTAAACAAACACTATACCAATGAATACCTTGTAAAACTTCCCTCATCTTTAGGGAGGGGAACAATGTCTGAAGTAACTACTTTCTATACAAAATATTTACTGAATCAAGTGCTTTACATTTTGGATTGTTAAGTATTTCAGAGATTTTCAATGGTGCAGTTGATATCTGTATGCTTAAACTGCAGCTTTTTCTTTTCCTCCTTTTTTTTTTTTTAGTTTGTACCTTGAAAACATCCTCTGGCAGTACCTTCATGCAAAGCCAATCAGCATGGAATTCAAATCACAGGATGGCTGCATTTAGTACATACTACTCCATTGTGAAATCTTCAAGCCATATCAGCACCTCATTTCTCTACGAAGCAAAGCATCCACAAAAAAGTCAATAACAATTTCAGGAGATAAGATGAAATGAAAGGACAGAAAGCAAACCATTGCAAACATCCAACTTCAAATGACTATTCTACATAAACTATTAGTTGTGCAAAATATAAGAAAAAATGGTAAATTGCAGGTCAATTACTGATGCAGGAAACTGTAAAGAGAACTGGATCATGGAAATATATTGTGAGGAAGACAGATAAAAAGCATAACCACAAGTCCAAATATCAATATTTCTTTCTTTTGTTTTGCATGGGATAGAGTGACATTGTAATTCTATCAATGAATTCATAGAGATCATTTGCAACACTTCTAGAACAGAATACTCATTATTGGAACAGTGGAAGAAAATACCAAAATATCATACCATTATGAAACTCCATGTCCGCCCTGGATCATTGTATCTAGCAAGCAAACAACCCTCTTTTGGTCTGAAACCATCACTAAGAAGTGCAGAGCGCAATGCTTCCTCCTTCCGACGAACAATGTCTTCAGTTGGTTTTCCACTGAATTTCAATACTGCAACAATGCTCCCTTCCACCTTTCTCAAGCTAAGTGCTTCTTTGTTTGGATCTGGCAAACTGATTGAGAAGCATACTTATTAAATTATTTCACACATCAAACTAAATAGGCATGAGAAAACTATTTATCAAAGAGAGAATTTACTCCTTCAACTACTTGGGCAATTTTCTATAACATAACAACTTAAATATTTGAACCCAATTTTTTTTTAGTGTTTTATTTTTGTTTTTTGAATAGTTGGGTTAGTGGGTCAGAGGTTAGTAAGGACACAGGGTGGGGAAGGGATTAGGTGCACTTGAGACCTAGTGGCCATACCACAAAGAGCCTACAGACATGTTGCTTTGATCTTGTGCCTCCACTATGGGAGGAATGGCTTGCCACCAATTCAACCGAGGGCTGGCTTGTTGGTGTGTTAGCTGGTTTGTTCCAGTGTTGATGCAGAATCGAATCCCTCAACCAGCACTTTGGGGAACAAAAGGGTCAAGGGGGAAGTTATTAATGGTGCATGGCACCGAATGCCAAAAAATAAAAAAAACTATGGGTCACTTGGTTGTTGTGTTTTACTGCTTCCAGTTTTTATGTTTCTTTAATGATCCATTTACTGATCAATATTTATTTTTATGATATATTTATAATTTTTTTAAATTTTAGTTATGAACCAAATCAAATAATAAAAGCATTACCTGCTCAGGTCTTTCTCTAATGGCAGAACTATTTGAATAGATACTTTAGACAAATCAGCATCAAATGCCTGAGTGAACACAGGAGTAGTCATTGGGATCTTCTCCATAGAGGAATTCTTTCCAAATATATACCTAAAGAAATACCATTAACTCTCATAAATTATTCCACATGCAAGAACATTAAATAACATAAAATAAAATTGATCCGAAAAAAAAGGTAGAAAAAACTGACCCAGCAACATCATTAAAGCCAGATGAACCTGACAGCTTGTCTCCCTTTGCCTCTACAACAATGAATGGAGAATACTTCCGCACCTGTAATTGCATTTGGAAATCTGATCAGCCTGGATGTTTTCTTTCAATTTTCCAATTAGACTTTGCTGAGAGATCAAATCTAACCAACCAGATTTGACATAATCTTCTTAAGAGTTCCCAACAACAGCTACATCTAAAAATTGACATGCATGAAAATGAAAAGGATAAGAGCAATGAGATCCTTGTGTAAATGGAGCTAGAAATTTGGTTAAATAATACCTAGTTACTGCAAATAAGCTTCAAGGATGACTTGAGAGTATAAATACATCAGGAATACTTTAAGTTTCATACTTAAAATCTATAGAAACAAGGAACAGGATAATCCATTGTGACAGGTTCTAGAACCTTGGTTCTATTTTCCTACTTGGTTCGCATGTTCTATTTGCAGAACATGGACAGATTCCTGACACCGGGAATTTAACAGCTTTGGTTAGAATATTTATACCTGTGAACGGTACCTGGAAAAAGAAAGTATGGTACCTTGTGGATATTTAGAGTAAATATTCGATTTTAATGGTCTATTTCAAATGTTGAAGGGCCGAGAAGAGCAAAGGATGGATCAGACAGGACATGGGTACAGGTAATACGAAATGATTTGAGGGCTCACACTTTAGCAATGGACATGGTCCTTGAAAGAGTGGAGTGGCACCACTATTTGTGTAGCTGATCCCATATAGTTGGCATACTGATTTATTTAGATGAGTATGGGATTTAGCAGCTTGTATTGGGTTTCAAATTAGACATAACTTCCTTGGTGAAATTTAGCAATTTATCTTGCAATTAAAGAACTGGGTGCATGTGTTCTACATCTAAATAAGACAGAATCATAGAATAGGAAAATGCTAGATCTTAATGAATACAAATAGAAGATTCTATAAAATGTAGTAGATATACCTCATAATTTGCAGTTCTTTTAAGTATTTGATACTTTGGTGTTTCCAAGTCTGGGGTCTTGTAAATCCTCAGCTGTAGAGAAACAAAAACTACAAGAAATGGCCAAGGAGTCTAGGAACAAATTTAGCACATAGAACAAACTTTTTGTAAATAAAATAGTTGGTACCTGCTTCATTACATCCAACAAACCTTCTAGAGAAAAGTAATCATTTTTCTGAATAGAGTCCCAAAGATCCTACAAGGAAAGACAATTTTCTGTATAATTAGCAGTTCATAAAATTCAAAATGTGCAGAATGCACATACATGATTACATGTGCATCTGCAGCCTCATTTCCTCCTCTTATAATGTGACTTGAAGTGCAGCTTACCACATGACTGCAAAACTTTTGGGTCTGTGGATTGATACCCATGATAGAGATCCCTGTGAAGATCAGCTCTGGTTTCCAAGGTAAAAGAACGAACCTCATTACCATAGTCCATCTTGTTGTTATCTCATACGGTCCTGTCTATAACAATTAAATCAATCAAAGGAGCTAAACCCAAAAACAGGAGGAGAAGGTTTACAAGGATTAAGAGGAATTTACTTAATTAATTATCATGCTACAAAATGAACAAATTTAATAAAAAGAAAACACGATCTGCTCATGTCAAATGTCCAGGGAAGGAAGAGCTATTTATGGAGTATGACAAATTATTATGGTTGAAGGAGTCACATTATGTTTATTTTTTGATCAGTAGGAGTCATATTATGTTTCAACCACAGTATTCAACTTTACTAAGTTAACTAAACTAAAATATCCCAATGGGTAATGATGTTTTGTTTATTTTAAGGTACCTATAGGCATATCTTACAATATTTTGTCCCAAGGGTTGGCTATACGAATCCTGCTTCACCATTCTCTTTTGTTCAGTGCCATATCCATTATTAAATTATGGGCACCTAAATAATTTCTTATTACTTCTAGGGGTGAGCATAATTCAGTTAAAACTGAAAAACCGAACCAAAAGTTTGATTTCGGTTTAATCAGTTCGGTCTAATCGGTTTTTTGGTTGGGTTCGGTTTTATTATTCGGTTATTTTGTATTTTGCTTTTCGGTTTCGGTTATCATAATTGATAAATTGGTTAACCAAAAAAACCGATCTAATTTTACTCACTGATAAGATTAGGGGGCATTTGCGTCATGTGAATCTGTCATTTACTCAAGATAGTGGACATCTGTCACAACTAATTACTTAATCAATAGGGTAGTACATTTACTACCACTAGGCTACCAACTTGCTACTCATAGCCGAGTTCCAACAGCACTGTCAATCTCAATGATAAGACCATTCGGCAACCTCCCCGAGAAAGCTTTTCAAAACAAAACAAACCCATCCAATGTGGGTCCTGCTTGGTCCTACACGTCATGCCTTCATAAACCCCCTCCTCAATCAGTTCGTCACTTCGTCTTCTTCTCTCCTCCTGCTCCCTTCTCCTCTGCAAAAGATAGAAACCAGCCGTCCATCTTGGAACCGCCTCAAGCCTCCCGGAACTGATCTCCGGCATGTTGCAGTGTCAATCCCTTGAGGCTTCCCTGTCCTGTTGAGTATCAACAGCCGAGTGCCACGGCTGCGGGCTACCGGCTGCCACTGCGTCTTCTTTGCCTCTGTCGGTTGCTGTTGTGTCTTCTTTGCCTTTGCCGGCCTTCTGTTTTTGATAGAACACATAAGGCTTGACTTAATTTTGGTTTTAGCAGAAATATCCAAAATAACCGAAAAAAAATCGGTTCGGTTTAATTGGTTTCTATATATTTCAGTTTCGGTTTGCCATCTTATTAAATCGGTTTTTCCAGTTCGGTTTTGAACAAAAAAAAAAAAAACGAATGCTCACCCCTAATTACTTCCATCCAAGTCCTTCTTGGTCTTCCCCTAGCTCTTCTAGCCCCTTCAACTTATAACAGATTACTTTTCCTAACAGGTTCTATAGATGGTCTTTTATGCATGTGACCAAACCATCTCAATCTACTTTCTCTCATTTTATCACCTACTGGATCTCCTAGGTTCCTTTACATGACTTCATTTCTAACCCTGTCTTTTATAGTCTTCTTGCTACTGTATAAGTATTTGCATTTCTGCCACACTCATTTTTTTGGACATGTTTCATAACTGCCCAACACTTTGCTTCATACAGCATGCCTGACCTTAAAACTATTTTATAGAATTTTTTTGAACAATTCTTGGTCTCCAATCCTTTAAGTGTACCCTGATTTGCACTCCTATTATTATTAAATTTACATTGCATATATTATGTTTGAGCCTTACTTATTTTAAAACCTCTTGTTTCTAATGCAGTTGTTCATAAACCTAATTTTGCATTTAATCCTTTGATAATTTCATCAATTAGTACCATATCATCAATAGACCTGTTCATGGGCCCGTTATAAGTCGGGTTTGGTCATAATTTTAGGTCTGCGGGCTCAGGCTCGGGCCCAAAGCACTGGGCCTGACCTTTTTCTGGCCGAGCTCGGGCTTTCTTAAAAAAGCCCGGACCAAGCCTGAGCCTGACGTGATACTATATATTAAATAATATATATATAAATATATACAATATTTTTTCTATGCTCTTCTTCTCTTTTTTTTTCAAGTAATAGTGAGATGTTTTTTATTTTTGAGTTTTGAAGGCTTTTAATAAATAAAACACTTTTTTATTGAATAAAAAAAGAATAAAATTTTTGGCCAGGCTCGGGCTCGGGCTCAAGACCTAGGCCCGATGGTTGGGCTGGGCTCAGGCCTGAGCCTGAATGTATTCTGTTGATACAAAGACAAAACCTGGCCCGACCCATGAACAGATCTAATCATCAGCAAACATCAGGCACTATGGGATCTCCTCTTGGATATGTTTAATGATCATATCCATAAATAATGCAGTAAGACTTGGTGAATAGACCATCTTTAAAGTTCAAGTTGTTTGGGAGGGGGCATAGAGATTGCTTCCCACTTAAGTGGTCAATTGGCAATTAATGAAGAAAACCATTGGAGACTGTTGCAAATTGCACAGTTCAAGGAAAAAGTTACATGGCACTCCTTTAGAATTTTCCATAAGACACAAAAGAACATTTAAAGAACTATAAATATTTGAGTTTGACTTGAATTCAATTCATATTTTTGTTTACTCCTGCAAATGGAGTCATCAACTCCTGAGAGCTATAAATATTCTACTGAGAACTATAAATAGTCTACTGAGAGAGTGCAACCTATAATTGTGTACAAATGGAGTCATCAACTCCTGAAATCCATACCCATATAATCACCCTTGACCTAGATGGCCCCAGTCACCAATGCATCTGTGCCCTGTCTACCCTCTATGTAGAGAATCATCCTCAAATTTTGTTCTCCTGACACATGTGATTGTGGCATTCATTGATTGGGCTAGATATTTTGCTTCTTTGATGTTGTGCCTTATTCCCAGGGAGGGCTGTCCTCTCACTTTAATAAAATTTGTCACTGTAAATACAAGCTTCCATAAAGTCTAGTAAATAAAACTTCTGTACATGATGAAAATGGACCTCCCCAAATATGTATATGGAGGTCTTTGCATTTGATGCCAAACTAGATGAACTCTGTATGTGAGTTCATTTATCAGTCTCTACTGGTATTGAGCTGTAGCAAATAGATTCTCAAAAGCCCATGGCAGCTTTACGTGTTGGAACTCCAACCATAGGAGGAATTACTGGTGGAGGAAGAGACGAAGCTATAGGAAAACTGAACAGAAGAAGGTAGAGGTACCTGTTTGACGTAGTGCAACTGAAACTCCGGCCGGAAAAGTTTCTTCAAGAGCGCAATGTTGAAGAGATACCCACCTATGGTATCGTGCTTAGTGATTGGATCACGGAATCGGACACGCTCATCGTACATCGTTCGATCGATTCCCTGATCGTCAAAGAGATGCGGGAGATCCTCGTATAAGAAATCCACTAGCCGATTCACGTCAAGCGTTGATTTGGGTGGGCTTTGTTCTGCTAAACTTAGTCTAAGAGCCCACTTGAATTTCGGACCAGTTTCAGCGTTGGTTAGCTTTCCTCTCCCGGAGACTTTTGACGGTGAGTGAGAAATTCGGGCAGGTTTTAGGGTGCTGAATCGTCGGGCATTGGGATGGAGCCCCGCAATTGGCCGGAGGAATTGGTCGGACAGATACGTGGCCATTTGTCAGTTGGAGTTGGTCTCCGATCCCAGCTACTGTGCTGCACCTGGGTTGCTAACGTTTAGAGAAGTATAGAGGCAAAGCTCAGCCAATCAAAACGATTGGCTAGCATTTGTTTGAGGAAATTCCGAGAAGAAAAGGAGTGTCTACTCTTTTTGGGTTTTTTGGGTCGGGGAGCAGAGCAGAGGGAGACCCATAATTGATCTGGGGCCAATAGCTCGCCACGTTTTACTTGGTCCAAGGCCACATGATCAGAAACTCAGAATGGGCCTTTATCCATGAGAAGTTATCGTAATTCAGAATTAGAAAATTCAGCACGAGATTCGGACCAATCGAGTAAATATTTATAAAGTTAGTTTTTAAGAATTATATTAAAGGGCCAATGATGAAATACAAGAGAAGGTCAATAAGTTTTATGCATGTTGAAGTTATTTTAAGACATAAAAAGTTGGGATTACATTATTGATCCGATTGAGTAAACAATTATTAAGTTAGCATCAATATGGAATTTTGGAATTTTTATCTTAGCTTGAATTTATCAAGTTAGCTATCTTAGTTCATAATTATTAAGTTAGTATCACATTGGGATTTATGAATTTGTATTCAATTAAAATTTTCTTTTTGAGAAAATTTTGGGGGAGTTCTTTTTTGGATTTTGAGAGGGGGGAATGTTGGTCAAAGGGATTTTGGTTCCCATTGACCAAGAATCCCATTTTCTTTTTTCAGATTAATGTGGGGATCAGGAAAAGTTTATTTTCTTGGGTATCAATCACTCGGATTCATCTCCTATATGAATAAATAACAGGGAAAAAGTTTCAAACACTTGAATGGGACAAAAATGTCCTTTTAATAATGAATTGTTATGGTTAAAATGATCATTTCCTTTTTCACTTGGGAAATAAAAGAACATGGGTAAATACACTTAACTGGGTAAATTTTTCTTAGAAATCACTTATCTAGGTAAATGCATTTACCCAGGTAATTAACTAACCGAAAAAGAGAGCAGAGCCTTAATAGGATTCTATTAAGGAGTGAGTATTCTCATAAATTATGAAACTTTTTTGTAGGAACCATAAGATTGATTTTCTCTTAAGTATTTAGTGAAGAATTGCTCTTCCTGTTTATTTTGACTTTGGTTCTTTTCTTTAAAACTACTCTGAATGTGATTTATTTTCTACACCAAAAATTGAGAAGAGACGTAGCAGAAGCAATGGTAAAGGAATCTCTACTAGTATCCAAGGTGCTCATCACTCATCACTCACAGCTACCTTCAATGAAGGACTAATATTCCAAGAAATCAGATCAACCCAAAAACGAATAGATAGATCATTTCAGTTTATGAGTTGATTCCCATGTTTTACGGCATTACGAAGGTCTAATATGCGTGTATCCCTGCTTACATTCATCGAGTTCAGAGTCTCAGACTTGACTAGTCAATTGGTGTAACCGAGAGGAATGCTATGCAACTGTTGTATTCTTTGCCTTACAGAAGATAAAGTTGGCGCCCTTCAAGGGTATAGATGGGGAGAAGAAAATCATACGTTGCATAGTTCATCCTCTGGACCATGCCAAAGATGGACGGTGATCTTATTGTTGGCAATAATCTCGATCTCCAAATGCTGTTTAAGCATCTTCACTTGATTTTACATTTTTACTATTCCTGTTTGTATTTCCCTTCATACTTTCTCTCTGAAAAGACACTGAAAATAGAAATAAGGAAAATGGCACAACCGAGTAATAGCAATATTTTTTTTTTTTTATGAAACAGACCATCTGAAGCCATGCATTTTCACTCAGATAAATATACAAATATATGGGATTTTCCACTCCTTGGTGGAAAACCAGAATAGCCAGTCAAACAAGCATTACAGAAACAAAACCTCGAAAAGATAAAAAACGGTACAAACAGAAAAAGGAAAGAATACATGTGAGAGCTCAAAAACCCTAGAACATTAGGGCCTGGCTTCAAGCTACATCTAAAAAATACCCAAGAGAAGAGGGGACATTAGGCTCTTCTCTTGATGTAAGCGGGAAAAAAAAAGAAAAGAAAAAGACCCTTTTCAACTATTCAGCACCCTAGTAATAAGTTAAAAAAATGCTATTGTTTCTGCAAGCTCTGATAATGGTCTTGTGATGATAAGATTCTGGTTATGAAAGGTGATAAAGCTGAAAGTAAGGCCTTGGGGCACTCCTCATGTGGAAGGTGGCCGCATCCAGATATCGCTACTAGTCTCTGCATCAACACAAGACATGGTAACAGCAAAGTAATTAATTATACAATTTCCCTGTAATATGTTTTCAATACAAACAGAACTGAACAGGAATGATATGTGGGCTAGAAAGCTCCTCCCAATGCCAACCATTCGGTTTGTGCCTAAGGCTGTGTTTGGTTGCAATGCAAATAAATTTGCACTGCTGCAAAACTATTGCAGTGCAAATGATTTAAGTAAATTCTGACTTATTTTTGTTTTAAAATTTAGCTTATTTTATTTGATTGCAGTACAAATGAAGTAAATTAAGACATGAAACAGAATAAAGTAAAACCCAAAACAAAATTAAATGAGAATTTGCATTTTGTTTCATTTGCACTCCCATGCATTTGTACTAGTGGAAATTTATTTGCACTGCAACCAAACACAGCCTAAAGACTTGAAGACCCTAAAAGCAAACCAGGATATCTACTATTTGAGTCAGGGGTGTGTGAAACACTGAAGCTCATTTATTTTCCTTATCTTTTAATGAGTTTCATCATCCTTCATGAATCCCAATCCTATGCAAAACGGTTGGTCCACAAACCGAGGAACCAAGTAGTCAAACTCCGCATTCTTTGAGAAACACAAAATTAAAGGACCACTGACTTCCATTTCTTTGCTAGAGTATTTTTTTTATTGTTATTTCTTTGCTATAACATTGCAAGAGCACATTTTAACTGTAGCTGCTAATAGTGAAGATGATAAAACAATTTATCTAAGGCAGAATACTTACAGAATTTACAAGCTTTGATGCCATAACTTGAGCAGATTTAATAGAGACAAGTGCATCCTCTGCACCTGCAACAACCAAAACTGGCAGATCTTCAACGGCTTTCAGCAATGATGCAGCACTATGTAATGGGAGGACTGTTTCAAATGACAGTCTAGATATCTCATGAAGTGCTTCATCCCAACCTTCCACACATAATGGTGCCTGATCGATGCATAAGGAAGCAGACAAACAAAATAATGTGGACTAGTCACAATTCATTTCATACTAACTTTAAATGTCCTAAGTAATATAGATGTAATTGACCAAAAAGTACAATCATTTGGCATGGATAAGTGCTGTTATTAGGATTTTAACCTAGTCGTACATAAAAGAACTACTAATTATTCAACCACATGTGCACGTACATGGCTGCAAGTTTCATAATAGTCCATACATAATGCAAAGCTATACCTATTTATCCTGATTGGAGAAAGTATGTAAAAAAAATTGAGCTGTCCAATTTTTCTATTTTATTGCCAACTTTTTCATTTGATCAATCCATTTCTAAGCAACGCTAAATAAACAGGAGTTGAATGTTAATCCTAGAAAATTTTGCATATATTGGTTGGACTCAAGTGATTTAACAACTACATCTTCTCATGGTAACTTGCAACTTCTCAATCTATTATTTTGCAAACATAGACACGTATTCAAGCATAACATAGAAAACAAATCTGAATTCCAGATTTTCAAGAGTGACAATTTTGCTTCTGAGGAGATGAGATATGATATTCTAAACCAGGATTTTGTACTCATTATCAATACCAAACAAATGCAAGTAAAATATACCTTATAGAGACTCAAAACCTCAGTGTTAAGCTTGGCAGCATTATACCATGCACGTCTGTTAACCACTTGAGTAATTTCAGTTCGCAGAAGAGGACGGACCAGGTGCTTCTTCCCCAAGGAAGTGCGCAGGAGGATTCTGGCAAAGGCAGGGACAACTTCTCTTGATAGGCTGACACTTAGAAGTACCACCCCCTTAATCTCCACCTGAGATGCAGAGAAAGAAATATGAATGAAGGGGAAGTCAGAAAGTTGGGATTTACCAGTCAAAAAAGGGGAGTTTGGAAAAAAATGTAAGTAGCTATCATGATTGATATTGCCTATTTGTGCATTCAATTATTTGAGAATTTAACCTGATCCAGATCTGCTTGCATTAAAAGCAAATACAGTACAATGTATTGTCCATAAAACAAAAGGTGACATCTGCAACATTTTTTTGTTCATTTTTTCCCAATCTAGAAGACAGAATAGAATAGCTTTAAACTATTAACAATAAATATCAACATTTTGATTGTGTTTTTCCCAGGAGAAAATGGTGAAACTTGAGGTAGATTCCAACACCTGCATTAAGAATGTAGTTCTAACATGGGATAGGAGATACAATATAACATTTCAAAACCATTTATATCAATCATAAGCTTTTCAACTTAGCTTCCAAGATAATTTCTACTTATTCCCAAAATGCAAACAAAAAAAAAAAATCCTGGCTCTTTAAAAAAAAACTAATCTAATATATAATAATTATGAGCACTTAAAAAAGGCTAAATGAAAAACTGCTTAATACAAGTTCAGGATCACATAGTCACAATGTGAAAGATACTCCTGATTTAGTTTGGACATGATTGAAACCTAATAATTTTGAATCCTTTGTGAGAGTAATTTCAAAAATACCAGTAGGAGAAGGATTACATCTTGTTAAAAAAAAACAATAACACAAAGGATGCTTAATTTGTGCAAAAACTTAGCAGATTACTCACATGGACAGAATGTGCAGATTCCCGAACTTTTTGTGCTGCCTTTAAAGCAAGCAGACCACCATCATCATGTCCAACAAGTACAACTGAAGAAAATCCCATTTCCGAACAGAAAGAAAGGAGCATGTCAACCTGATGCATCAGAATCAAACAAATTAAACCTCACATGGAGGGGGGGGGGGATAATTAAAAAAATAACTAGAACATATGCCTTGAAAGTTGAGGTTCACAAATGCCTTTGACAAGATTATTTCCATTAAATACCTATGTTTTTACCAATTATGAGTTTACAACTACATGTTCACTTAGCAAACTAAAGAAATCTCATCATAGAATGATCCCATGAGCCCTGGTACAATGTTTCATTCCTTTCTTTATCTTATTTCAATAATGAGCTTTAAGACATTATGACAGCATTTCTTAGTTCTTATTAAATACCTGACAGTTACAACCGAGTCATAAAAAAGACCTGAGATGCTGGATAGGGACAGTTCCCTACTGTTAAAATTTTATTAGTTATTAGTGAAAAACCAGTATTATTTGTATAATGCTAGCACCCTCTAGAGGTAGCCAGCCCTAGCTAACTACCTCTTGAATCTTAAATTACAAATTCCTTGAATTTTGCGATCAAGAAAGGTGCAATCGTTTATTGGCGATACGTGAGAGAAGGCACAAAAATTAATTGTTCAAGAATAGCCATTGATAATTAAAAAAATGTTCAAGATGAACATGTAGCATAATTGACATGCCAAAAACTTCTTTAGTATATCTGAATTCTTCTCAACTCATAAGTGGGATAATTAATTGCATGATAGATTATGGTAGAAGTCCCAGACCAAAATTTTCTTTGTTAACACTTTCAGTAAAGCTACCTTATTTCTTGTTGTTAGTTTTCAGTTGCATAATTAATTGTAGTAGCTTGAAACTGGTAATTCAACCAGTGGATTTGGCTCTTAGGACTCCTTTTCAATTTCAAAAGAGTAGACTTTTCTTCATAGACCTTTTAGGTACTACAGGAAATAAAAAAAAAATAGAAAAAAATAAAAAATGATCATGAGTAGGAAATTACCTGCGTCTCAAGCTTATAAGGATTTGGCAATTGTTTTTCTTCCCAGTCCTTCCTTTGTGGCCGGGATGTTAATCCCCAACCAGGTCGGTCAAAAGCTGCAACCGTGCAACCAACCTTGCGTGCCAGGATTCTCATTACATGCCTCCATGAGAAAACTCCCCCTCCAAACCCATGGATTAAAACAATACCAAGTTTCTCAGATCCCTCTACATTTCCCACCAAATTCACAGGGTTCAGCAGGCCATTTCCAGTGTCACCATCATCTAGGGTCAGAACAGGGATCTCTTCGGACAAATAGACAGGTGAAGTTGAGGAGCTGTCCAATAATGGATCATATAAGGAGGAATTATGGAATTGATTACTGATGCTCTTAGGCAGATGATACTGTATTTTGTATGGGATGGTTGAAGACGATCTATCATGTTTTAGCCTTCCAGATGTCATTCTTGGTGAAGTGCAATTGAAATTGTGATCAATAAAGGTAGTGGAGGCTAAAGACCGAGAAGGAGCAGATTCAGAGCAGCTGAGTTTATAATGAAGAGTCAGGCCTTGGCAGGCAATAAACAAGCTATCACTGTCTGCAAGTAATCTAATTGGGAGTTCCTCCTCACAGCGAGCTGTAGATAAAGGTTTCCGCCGTGTTTCACCGTCACTCTTTGGGGTCTTTCCTGCAGAGGGTGTGGGAGATCGTGGCACCTTCTGGTAACTTGAAAACACATTTTTGCATGATAGAACCTGTGACTTAGACAGAGATTTGTAAGGTTATGCCAGTTATCAATAATTTAGAGTAATATGACAAAATGCATAGAAAAAAGCCCATAGAATTTGTCTCTATGGTCAAGCCAATTTTGATATCTGTTACAAATTTTGTCATGGCCAGGCATTAGACAAACTGGATAATCTATTTATGCAGTTGATAATAGTCTCCCACTGTACCCAGACAGCATGAGAAGCTAAAGGGAACATGTTCTTGGATTTCAAAACCAATGCTGTCAGCCTGAGAGGGGTTGACTGGATGCAGACCTAATATTTGGCTTTTTTTTTGGGTACAAGGTGACCACTCTCAGACAAACCCATTTTCTCATGCTTGTCAGCTGCAATAGTCCTATTTCAAAACAAAAAAAAATGTGAATGAAAATAAACAAAATTGAGAAAAGAATGCTATGATAATCTTACTGCTTCTGGGTCGACAATGTGGAATAGGAGCTTCCTCCGTGCTCTGCAGCTCGTTCTGTAAGCAACCACAATATGCCCAAGAGCAAATACTAGTGAAGAGAGAAACAAAACCGGCATCCCCCAAGACTTCTTCAAATGAAGCTTCTGCCTTGCCAGAGAAGAAGATGAAGCTTCAGCCTCAATTTCCGAAATCACAGTAAAAGTGCAGGCCTTCACTGATAGAACAAGAATGGAAACAAAGCAGCAGAGTGTGGTTGTTCCAAGATAAGGCCCATGAGAGAGCCCTGGACCATCACACAAAGAATAAACACCTGACGAGAAAGTAAAGTTAAGCAATGACAGGCATTGTTTCAAAAAAGAGAAAATAACAGATTTAACCAACCACTAGTCTAATTCGTTTATATCTAGAACGATGAGAACTCATGGTGATAGACATGTTTTGAAATTTAAAATTTCATGGAAATTTTGCATCTACTACGAGAAATCTACTCCCAGCCGGCCAGCCATCTCTATGTCATTATTGATTATTCATCCATGAAATAAGAAAAAATAATTACATTCACAACTTTTAGGGTACGATAAGCTTTGTAGCATGTCGTGAAAGCATTATCGAAGGGAAAAAATTACWAACAAGATTTCTCAACTGATACTGTCTTCAAACATCTTTTCAGATAATCATCTTAAATCATGCATTCGAATTTTCCAATAGAAGCCCGCCATGCTCTCATCTCCATTGGCCCATTACTCGGAAAAAGAACCAAAATCAATCCTCTATTCTCTACCACCAAAACCGACTTCGAGTCCAATTTTTCGAAAAAAAAAAGGTATTAAAAAAATTACGCAGCCTTCAATTTTTTTTTTTACTTTTTTTTTACAATAGGGAAATTTCTAGGCAGGTTTTCAAACCAGAGAAAAAGGAAAAGTAGGAAGAAAGATATACAGAGATGTTTCAAGTGCCTTAAGGGCGTGAGATAGGTGTATCAAGAAACCAGCAACATTCTCCGATCCTTCATGAATGATAGCTTATTAAAAAGAAATTAACGCGAACATGAATAGAGGGGAACATCATACAAGTTATCACGAAAGATCTGATGGCCGAAACAAGAGGAATATCCACCAACGAGCTTCTAAAACCGTATCTCTGCAAATGCTCTCTGAAGCTATAGCATCTTACACACGTGAAACTCGAAACCAATACAGACGGCACTAAAATGTCTCCTATTGCGACGAGGAGAGGCGCCGACAAGAGCAGAAGTGACGCTACCATCGTCAACATGAAGAAAATCGTCCGAATGCCTCTCCGAATTCTCTCCAGATTCCCTTTTCCTGCAGCCATGTTCAGAATCACCGTCCAACACCGCCGGAAACGGAAACAAATCAAAAGTTTCTCCCAGAATCTTTTCCTCCAGTAAATCAAACAATTCTCGCTCTCAGATCACCGGTAAAGCGGGGTTCCAAAAGCTCTAAAATCAGAGAACGTGATGAAACCCTAGCCAACGGCATGATAGCAGAGGCAGTTTCATTTTCCGGCGGCTCTCCGGCCATTGTAATGGCTAGTGAATGCTGCTGCTCTGCGGTTAAAAATGCAAAATGCTTGGACGACAGGAATTCCTCGAAGGCGCCATGGCTAGGGTTTCAAAGATCACAGCACCCGAACCAGAGGAAAGATTCGATTTCTACTTTCTTCCTTTTTTAATCAATAAAATGTTTCAGCTTTCAGGAGATGCAGGAGCCTGGTTTTATCGTATCGGATTTCTCTCTCTTCCCCAGTTTTATTTTTAAAATTTTACTTCGTTTTCATCGTTTAATTTAATTACCTGTCATTAACAAAAATCATAATTGAAAATAATTAATCTGGCTCCACTAAGTTACACCTGTTAAGGAAAATCTTAATTAAAAAATAAAAACAAAATTCAAACGCTTTTGAAGTTTCGGAAGACATGTATGCCCTCAGATGGGAAAACACCAAATGGCGGACTGTACTGCGCTAATCTCCCATGGGCAGAGGGCACAAAGGGAATATGAAAAGAGTTGGGGAAAGTTGAGCAAATTAGAAGAATAAGAAGGGCTAATTTGGTAGTTTCATTAAAATGGAATGTACTTCCCGGGGACGTGACCGTAAGATAGGTTTTTTGGTCCGGGGAGGAGATCGCGGTCGGGACCAAAGATCTAAAAATAAGAAGGGTCACGTCGGATCCGCTCGGCGCTGACCATGTGGGGCTCGCTTTGCCTGTGGTCTGACTCGTTAGTGGCATGACACGTGGAATCACTGTACAGCACTTCAATGAGAATGTAAAAAGACGCTGTATGCGCAACCGTAGCGAGAGGCGGGAAGCTTTAACGGTCAGATTTTTCTTCTCCTTTTCTCTCTTTGGATACCGTATCGTGTCGCTCTGACGGTGGTGTCGGTATGTCACATGGATCTCGAGGGAGATTCTGGGCGATACGTATCGGAAATTTACGCCTGTGCGGCACGATTCAGTTTGGCAGAGATGTTTTAACTTTAACGGCTGCAGATGATCAGATACTCGCCTATTGTTCTTTAGACAAATTTAATGTTTTAGGCATAGGATTCAAGGTTCCAAGTAAATACAGATGGGTTAGTTGGTCACGTGTGAGTTGTGACATGTGAGACATTGGGCCATGGCAAATGATGTTGTGGATGACATGTGGATTCTGACGTGTAAAAATAAAATTCATGACTTGAATTTTCTTTTCCTATTCTTGCTGACAAAATTGGGAACATCTCCTTTTGAACAAAAAGATTAAGGACATAAAATGTTCCCAATATGCCGCTGCAAAAGCTGTGAGGTAGGTGTGAGTACTGACTTTGTTAGAAGCAAATCCGAACTCATTCATGACTTCATGCTAGGGTGTTGTTCTTCGGAAGTAACCAATCCTATAGTTAGATAAGGTTTAGATGTAGAGCTAAACTTGGAAAAATCAGGCTAAAGTTTAGATTAGGGTTAAGGTTGAAAAATATGAACCTAATTTAACTTCGAGTTGGATTAGTATTGAGGCCTTGGCCAATTTGATCCAATGCTAGCTTGAGTTGTAGCTTCTTATTTGTATCTATTAATATTTATTAATTTTTTTTGTCACGAATCTATTTATTTATTGGCTTTATGGTCTCGGGTATCCCCAAATTGTGGTGGAAGTGGGAACCGATCCCATCTGCTTGGACAAGTCAGAGATACTACCAATTGAACCACCATCATACATATATACATGTGTGCATATCAACAATTTTATATTTAAAAACATGACAAGTATGTCCTATTACATATACAATAATGCTAAAACTGAATTTACCTCAACCCTTGAATATAGGGAATAAGAACATTTGACAAAATAAAATAGAGGTTAGAGAAGTTAGACGAACACAAACCCAATCTAAAAAGGATTAGGGTTTTCACAACTTGAGTTGGGTTTAGGTTGACCTCAACCCGGCCTAGCCCACCCGATTTGCACTCCTTACTTAGATGATGGGAATGATAATATATCTAAACTGATTTTTTCTTTAAAAGTTTCTACTAAACTAGAAGGCGAAAAGGAAAGGGGAGGAGGAAAGAAGGATGATACAAAGGGTATTTGGAAAAACATGGTAAGAGGAATCATGTCGTCATCTCAATTCAGGAGAGGACCCCAAATGGGCCCCACACTAACCTCCGAATTGATTAATGAAAATTCCTTGTATAAACAAGGAAAGAGCAACCAGAGCATGGGAGTCTCTCATTCTTCTCATTTGTTGAGAAATAAATGAAGATCCATTCAAGTTTCTTGTTTGTAGTTTTTCTTTTCCAACTTTTTTAGGTTGTGGTAAGGCAATTACATCTGTAAGATGCCAACCAAAGTTTTATTCTTTTCTTTTTTTCTTTTGTCTTTTCCCCCTTTTGTGTTGGAAATGACTCATTTATAGGTTTCCTTCTAGCCAATTCTCTAGTTTAGTAGCCAAACGGGTTGTCAACTACTCAACCTGCCATTATTTGTGCTTATTTTGGCAACCAAATGGGTTGTCATAGGCTCATAGCCCTGAAAGGGTTCATTGAACTAGAAAAATTAAAGACTGAAATGGGGAGTGAAGACTAGAGAAGAGAAAAAGCATTTCACATGGCTTGCGCCATGGCTCAGGAATCTGGGGACATTTCTCAATTAAGATAAATATTTATGTCATGGAATATAATATTGGAAAATCAACCATTCCTTTATTCATGCAAATGAGCTTTGCTGGTGCAGAGAGAAAAAGCTGATAGTTGCTGGGTCAGATTCTAGAAATGTGAACTTTTTGTTGCTTTTAATTTTTGGCCAGCATGACTCTTGTCTCAACCATTTTGCAGAAAAGTTTGAACTGTCATCATTCCCTCAGATATCCTCAGAATCAAAATTTGGGTCTTTTTATTTTATTTAGGGTTCATTGGATTTAATCAGGTGTCCTCGAGCCTGGCCAGAATAAGCAAATGGGCACACAACAAATGTATGATGCAGGGCTAATTTGGACATGGGATAAAATTCGACTCCACCAAAAAAAAATCAATAAGAATGGGGTTTAAAGAATAGGATTTGGACTTTGAATACAAACATTTTTAGTTTGATTTTGCCTCAGACTAGGTTTGGTTTGATAGAAACAAGAGAGAAGCAGAAGGTAGTTGAAGGAAAGTAGTTAACAAAACTTGTGAAATTCCTTTACAACTTTTCTTCAACTACCCTCTATTTCTTTCAAAACTTGTGAAATTTCTTATGTTCTACCAAACCAAACACAGTTCTTTAACATTTACTGATTGTTTGATTGTTAAATTTAGACTCTTTTTATTAGATTAAAAAATCCAGCATATATATAATCATGAATCTAAAAACCCTTTCTTTAACTGTTCATATAGAATGCATGCACTCATTAAAAATCTGGACAACTACTCGATAAGCTGACCTAACCTGTCCAACAACATCAAAAGCCCTCAACAAGAATCTGATTTACATAATTTCAGCTAACCCCAGTTTGTGCAGGAAAATCATATAGGGCACCAATAGAGGTGGCAACGGGCCGAGCTTTTCACGAGTTGCTCGAGCTCAATTCGGCTCGGTTTCAGTCGAGCTTGAGCCTACTAGAACTCGGTTCGTGAGGCTTGCTAGCCAGTTCAAATATATATAATAAAATTATAGAAAATAATATATATAATAAAAATATTATAATTCTTAAATTTTTAAATATAAAATAAAAAATTATATATATAATTTTTATTTTTATAATAAATATATAATAAAATATTTTTATAAAATATAAAATGAGCCAAGCTGAGCCGAGCTCAAGCTCAAGGTTCTGGCTCGAATCAAGCTCGAGCCTGGTACTATTTGGCTCGAATCGATTCGAATCCACCCCTAGACACTAGTGAAAAGAAGTGATGGCACATAGAAGGATCAACAAGAAATAGGGGAAGGCCAAAAGGGACATAAGTTGAAGTAGTGGGAAATGATTTAAGGTCTCATCAGAAGTCAGAAATAATGGAGTCTTATGGCATTGACAGAGTGAAATGGCATAATAGAATTTATGTAGCTAACCCCATATATATAGTTGTGATAAGGCATAGTTGGGTTGAACTTTCTTTCATTGCTCACAGTTTAGCTCAGTTGGGTTGAATTGAATTGTAGCTAATTACTTAAGTTTTGGTCCAATTGATTGAGATAGGATGTGGTCAAGTTGGCCATGTAAAAAGAATTATTTCATATTTTACTATTATTTTCCTCTATATTTGGATGTGCAATTTCATCATAGTGGATTCATTCCATTACTGAATAAAGTTCTAATATAGGGTCATCTCATGTTTTGAAGATACTAGTAATCATGTACATGCTTTGTACGTGTCAATTCTATATGATGATAATGATAGTAATATATACTATATCAAAAATTTCTACAAATATGTATTTTTTATTATTTTGCTTATATATATTATTAATCGGATGTAAATTGCAAAATCCAAATTTGATTACATAAACACCTCATCCAAAATTCAAGTATCATTGACAGACCTACTTATTTGGCTAGATTCTTCTTTTCGTAATGTTTTAATTTTTTTGTATATTTTTTTGTTCATTTATCAAAGAAATATAAGATTTAAACAGAAAGAATTGAATGAGGTGAAAAGTAGTAATTCAATTTATAATTTAAACCTCGTAATTAAATAGGGACTAAACTCAAAAATGAGTATTTTAGTCAAAAGAAAGTTCCACAATATTCATATTTTTAATAGTAGTGTAAATATAGAATTATAGTTTCTATAATTATTTGTATTTTTGTGTGTAAAAATAATTTTGATATGACACACTTACTTTTTTTAATATGATAATTACATGATATCATGCATGTGTTTAAGTGCTTATTTTTTTTTTGCAAAGTTTATGTATTTTATACTTTTATATTTTATTAATTTTTATTACTTATTTATGACATTAAATGTTAAAACATTTGGTCTTTGCAAAATCGTAAAATAATTTCATTTTCTTTTAGTTCTAAATTATGTATTTCATTTTCATTATCAATAAAAATAATTATTGTTTATTACACTTTTTTAAATTGATTAATAAAAATATCATAAATGTGTCTAACTTTTTTTCTATATTTTTTAATTTTCTATATTTATTTTTGTTTTAAAAATTTTATTACCTAACTATGACTTCATAGGTTGTTCACTTTGATTCGGATGGTTGAATTGCTTAGCCACCACTTGAATAAAGAATAAATTTTGTTTTTTAGTTAATTTTAAA